AAGCCACTTCTGCCCTGTCTAAATGGACCTGTTCTTATACTTGCAGCAGGCACTTTACCGTGAATACTGCCGCAACCACCTCTTCCACCGTGGCTGACTGGTCCACATCGATCAGTCTAACCTCCGCTCGCTGCACAGGACGAATCACACTTACTTTCTCGCCGAACTCACTTTCAGCAAGAACCGTTTTTAGACGGTCAACAAGTGCCTCCGCCTTCGCGCCAGCCTCGGGATTTCAATGAGTAGTCCTCCTACCTGAGCCTTACGAATACGAGTTGGATATCTCCAGCTCTTCCAGATCTTGCCCCTTGCCATTCTCATGACATCTGCATATGTCGGCGCAGAGTTCCCTCCTGCATCCTCGCATCTCAGAAGAACCGCTGCAGTCCTGTGGGCACGGAACCGAGAGTCCCTCACTGCCGGTCGCGCCGGTATTTTCTTCGCAGTCCGGGTTGTAGCTCCAATTCTTCGTCCATCTGGAACGTCCCCGGCCGCTTCCTTCACCCTCCTATTCGTATTCTTATCTCTAGGGGGGTGGACAGCACTTTCCAACGCCGCGTCCCGCCGGACGTCTGTTTCCGAGGCTATCTTCACCCTCTCTTTTCTCCTAGCCCTTTTCAGGGCCCTCTTACTTTTGGCCGTAGTCTAAGGTTCCCCATCAGCCGGGTAAGTTCGTGTCGGAGATGGAGAGCTATCTCTCACATATATTCCACCCGATCTCACCCCCCTACTCATAATCCGATGTTCCTCATGAGTTCCCTCACTCGCGCTTGTCACGATCCTGCCAGTGGCATCCACGCTCGTGCGCACTCGCGATCTGTCCTCCATCTTTTTTTGGACTCCTCCTAACGTCGGTCTATACACGGGAGGTAGGAGAACCTCACTCCTCTTATTCCGTGTCCTCAACGCCGGGAAGTCGTCAGTTACATCCTCCTCTAGATATAGAGAACTATTTCTTCCGCGTCCAGATCTTCCCCACTCTTCCTTCTCTCTAAGATCTTGCACGGTTCGAGTGAGAGTTTCCACCTGATCTCTTAGTGCTGTTCTCTCCCTCCTCAGGATGTCCATTTCTCGTCTCAACTTGAGGACCTCCCTCTCCAAGGCAAGATTATTGGTTCTTACCTCATCCACCGGTCCCGTACTCTTAACGATGTCTGAGGCGAGGCGCTGTATGGCGATCTTCGCAACATTCACCCCTACTTTTATCTGTCGACGAAGATCTCCCTTCATCGTCTGCGTCCTTCTTTCCGCTTCTCCCGCCATATCTAATACCCTCAGAGTTTCCGTCATGATGGATTTAGGGGACATCTGGGGAAAAAGTCCCGTCACTTCCTCAACCGCGTCTTTCTGTTTAGAGGACAGTCTGTCATCAAGATGATATTCAACTAGACCTTTCCTCTTCTTTAAACCATGCCCAGTCTTCTTCGAAATTTGAAAGAAATCTTCTCTATCCAATTCATCATCTTCAAATTCCATGCGCTTAGAGGAAAGCTTCGTCAACGTATGAGACCCTGGAACATTACTTCCCTTGGACTTTCGTCCTCTTTTCTTGTCCTTGCGCGGTATCTCCTCAAATGACGACTCAGTGTTTTCCGTTTCCGTCATAGACGTGGACTTCACTGTGCCCAAACTATTGGGAACGCTATCCTCTCCTGTGTCACTTGTCACAGCCGTGAGATCAATCGTCCCCCTCCTGTCCATCGGTACAGTGTCACCCCAAATAGGCGTGCCCACTGAACCACTTTCAGCCACTGGGGAGTCAACTATTTCCCCACCAATGACCCTGATTCTCGTTTCCTTAGGATACTTTATATCGGCACCTCTTGGCTTCCTAGGCCTCAAACTTCTCGCCCCTGGCCAAGTCCGGCTTTGCCAATTCCCTAGTTAGTCCGCCCTGGTTGATATCCTCCATTTCGGTCCTTTCCAATAGCAGTCGGAGCTCCTTACTTGTCCCTCTCTTCCTCTGCGGCTTTGGAGTCTCTGCCTCTGTAGCCTCTCCATCCTTAGAAGGTGTCCCTTCCGTCCTTATCGCTCTCGCTGTATCCTCTTCATCTATCCGGCCGGTAGTAATATC